CTGGTGGCAACGGCGTCATGGCTGGGTTGGCTCGCTCCATTCGGAACTTGGTGAGCAGGCTAGAGATGTACTTCTCTTGCGAGAGTGTCATCTCTCCCTTCTCTTTGTCGTATTTGATCTTAATGCCTACGAAGGTGTCGACTTCGCCGAGATCCTTGATGGCAAATCGTTGGCCGATTTCCTCCCAAGAACCAATCGAGGTCAGCATCGCACCCAGCATAGACAATGTCATCGACAACCACACCCAACCATAGCTGTCGTGTCTTGTGTGTGAAGATGCAGGGATCAGCGTCGAGTGGCTCGAAGCCCATGGCCCTCAGCGACTGTATCAGCAGCTGATTCCATGCTCTCGGCGCCGCCCTCAGCCCATACAGGGCCTTCCGCAGTCGAATGACATGACCAGGCTTCTCGTATCCTTCTGGGCACTCCATGTACACAGGAGTGTCCAGTGGCGCGTTGAGGAAAGCGGTGTTCACGTCCCGCTGACGCATCGACCACCCTTTCTTCAACACAGCCGCCAGAAAGGTACGGACAGCCTGTCCAGACATCGTAGGTGCATACGTCTCTTCGTCAGGTCTTAGCCGCTGTTGGAAGCCTTTGGCGACCAATCGCGCTTTCTTCCTGTCGGGCTTCTGTTTGAAGACCCATTTGGCCTGGATCACTCGTCCATCCGCCTCCTCACGTAAGACGTACTCAAACACACCCAAATCGTGCATGGCTTGATGCTCCTTGTCCATTGCCTCTATCCAGCCCTCACACTCAGGCCCTTCGCGGGCTTCCTAACATGTTTTAGGCTGATAGACGGTGTCGGCCATTGGTCCTGCCTTGACGCTGAATGCATTCACAAACAGGTCAGGTAGACCACCCGCACGGCCACGGGAGCGTCTCTTGCCAGCACTTCTCTGTCTCGACTGCTGTGTGACCAGGTGTGACCAGTCTGGTGGTGCGTCAGAGGTCCTTCCAGCATTGCACATGCATCGTGAGGCCTTCACTGCCAGGCAATGGCAGCCCTCGCCTCCCCTCTTCGCATCCACCCGGCCCCTTCCTGTCTCCTTATCCCCACACAGACGTACGACAACCGGTCCACTCACCACACCGACCTGCACAGCACGGACATCGAATAGATGGTCCTCGTACAAGCGTCGTGGTATCAGCTTTTCGCGTCCAGAGCGCCATGGCGGAGGGGCTGGTGGTGCTCGTCGGTCGAGAGCCATCTCGCCCTCATCGATCGGCATGAGTTCCATCTCTGCATCGCTCGGCTGGGGGGCTGCTGGGCCTGATGCCGGGTTGGCATCCATCCCATCTACATCATGTGGTCGTGCTCTGAGTTGCTGGCTCTCGACTGCCCGTCCATTTGGACGTCGCCTGCCCCACTCGGCCCATCGAACGACTCATCCCCGCCTGCCTGCACATGGCCTTGCTGATCGAGGTCACCCATCTCCTCCACCTCATCGGGCTCAACATCTCTTATCTCTGGCTTCTCAGCAACAATCGGGTCGCTCTCAGGGTTGACTATCACATCCCCTCTTCGAGCCGATTGGTGCGCTAAGTCGGCCAGTCCATCCCCTCTTTGCGCGTGGTCGTCGACAAGCTCAGGGCGGGCCTGGAGAGGTTCACCGAGTCGATGGGTGGCCTTCCAGCTGGCCGGCACGAGCCGTCGATGCCAGGTGCGCTTCTCGAGGAAACGAACATCACGCGAGATGATGACGCGTCTTGTTTTGGGGTTCCACATGCGATAGGCATCCTTGGTTCGACCATCGTAGCCTATCAGCAGCATGGGAACTGCCCTGGCCGCAAACTTGTGTGCTCTGAAGGGCTTCCGCACATGGACATAGCCAAGACAGCCCCACACACGCACATGGCCCAGGTAAGGCCGGCGGCCATGCCACATCTCATATGGCGTTTTGTCCTCTGAGAGGCTCTCCGTTGGCATTCTGTTCCTCAGATATGCCGCTGTGTCGATGGCAAACGGCCAGAAGGCCGTGGTGATGCCATGACGAAGGAGTATGGCCGTCCCTTTCTCCAAGAGTGTGCGGTTCATTGGCTCGGCGACACCATTCTCACGAGGTGTGTAGGGCGCACTAAACTGACGTTTGATGCCCCTATCTATACACTCTTGCTCAAACGAACCAGCAGAGAGCTCTTGAGCCCAATCTGATCTGATTGTTTCAGGTGTCTTGCCCCATTCGCCGCACAGCCGCCTCAGCGCAGCTGCCGACTCATTTCGGGTTCTGAGCATGTACACCGCCACCATCTTGGTGTATTCATCCGTGTGCGTGATGAAGTACTGAAAGCCGCCTGGCGACGAGTTCGGCATCGGGCCACAGATGTCTGTGCGCACCAATTCGAAAGGTCGCGTGCACTCAGGCGACTCCTCACAGTCAGCAGCAGGAGGCAGCTGTGTGCTTTTTGCCTGGATGCAGATCTCACAGGAGTACAGATGCTAGCCCAGTCAGTCTCCCGGCCCTCCTTCACTCAGGCTCACCAATAATGCCAAGCACAGCATACAGCAGGTCCACAGGGAGGAAGATGAGGTCGCCTAATGTGATTGAGTTGTCGCTGTCGACCATTGCGCCACCGAGATGAAGCACGATGACCAGCAGCGCGGTAAGCGAGTCGACCAAGCATGTGACGGCCCTCGCTGCTCGACTGATGAGGAGGTTGACGGCCTCTCCTAGCTCATCTGCCTCTCTGAACCCCAAGCCCCTCGAGTAAACAGCCTCAGGCTGCCTTCGATGCTGAACAGGAGCCTGGAGGTGAGTGACGCGTGGCATGGGTGCTGTTGAGGTGAAAGGCGGTATAATATCGACTGAGTGGCGCGGACTGCTCAGGGAAGACAGCTTCTCACCAGATCTGCCTCTTGGAAAGCTCGCCGAACTGCGGTTTCACCGGAAGCAGCGGTTTCACGCGAGGCCCTAGGTGGTGCGGTGGGTGGCCTCTGGCCGAGTCCCAATGTCCATTCAACACGCAAGAAACAAAGGAGCAAACATGAAACAAGCACGCAAGGGGGACTGCCCCGCGCAGCCAGGCAGATCTGCAAAGGCGAGACGGAAGACGGCGGTACATGTGGAAGTCACGAGCACGACACGGAAGCCACCAAGGCGGGAGTCTATCTGGGGTTAGCATCTAGCACCCCTGGTGACGTCCGTGTCATGCTGGTGGTGCACCCACACATATAGAACTTCACGCATCCAGTCGGTGCAAACGTTTGGCCAGCCAGGAGCAGCCCCACTTCAAAGATGAGCGAGATGTGTGTGTCCAGGATGGTCGCTCATAGACACCTCTCCGCTCCCCAGTGTCGGGAGCGAAACGACGTTGCTAGGCGAACACACAGGCCACACAAAACACCCCTCAGCTAACCACAGATCCACCGATGCATACAACGGACGAAAACATCGACTGCTGCAATCGCACGTACCGACAATGAGACGCACACCGAAAACGACACAAAACCCTAAAAATGACACGGCACACACACACACCGAGCACACACACACACAGAAAATGACACACGCAAAAAATGACACGACACACGGAGAAAGACAGAGAAGGAACTCAGAGACAAGTGAGTGACTGTGTGCCGTTGATGGTGAAGTGCAAATGTACCTCACCTAAGGGCAACGGTGGAGCGAGCAGCGGTCACTGTGATTTAAGTGAGTTTTCGAGTTTAAGCACCATAGCACGTATGTTGATTTACTGTGACTTTTGGCGTTCATTTCCTAAATTCACGTATTATTTGTGTTTCATTGAAGAAGGGAGGGGAGGGGAGGGGAGAGTCAGATTTATTTATAGGTGTAAGGACTGTACTGTGCTCTCTTTTACTCTTGCCTTGGTACGTGGAGTTTTCTGGCAACGGTTTGTTAGTGAGGGCCCTTCACTTTAGATACACATTATGTCAATTTTGGATATATGTGTCAATCTTAGATGGGGAGTCGGCTGCTGGAGATCGTCTTCAGCATTTGTTAGACATCGTAGATGCTAGAGATGTGTATGTATGGCATCATGGTAGGTAAGATGGAGGAGGGAGGAGAAGGCGCTGTGTGTAAATTACAGCAGGATGTACGTACGCACCTGGCCTTTTTAGGTGCATAGGACATTAAGGCAGTTACTCGAATCGACTGAGAGATGGGAAGGAAAGGAGGGAAGGTGACTTAGACATATTTATGCACGAATTCCTGTATACATACAGTGTATCATGTTTTAAGACGTAGACTTCATCGTCGGATGTTAGCGACTGCCTCTCGTCGACGGATGGGAGCCTGGGGATAGCAAGTGGAGGACGGTGTGTAGAAAAAAGCATTCGAGCATCGCAGCGTATTTTTGCTGCATTCGTCGAATCGGTTGGCGATGTTTTCTGTA